ATATATATATATATATATATATATACGTTATCTATATCTCTTTAAACATCTCGTTCATTAGTAAAGTTTATTATTATTATTCGTATAACTTTGATAACCGTTAATTATTAAGGATATTACGCAATATTTCTTGTTACATTTCATTAACAACTGAGTGAAATGAAAACATTTTAATACACTACTAATGTTTTCTGATGCTAATCATTTGCTCAAGTTTCCACACTTTAAGTCTAGTCTTACTGAAACCCAGTGACATCACAAATACAAATTTTGTTGTAACGATGTTTAAAGAGACATGATTTAAGCTACTTCTTTGTGTATTATTTAAATTCATGAATTAATAAACATTTATATCTGATGCAAGAACAGTAAGAATGAGAGTACTGAAATGTAGCGTTAAATCTCGCTTTTCATGATCAGGTATATTTTTATATTAAAAGCAATACCCAGGCTACAAACGCCTCTTGTTCGTGAATAAAATTGTTCCGTTAGTTTGGGCACATATTAGTAAACCAGGTAGACCTTTATTTCGCGACAATAAAACTAACTGCAAGTATGATTGATATGTTTTTAGTATACCAGATGATTACCAGTGGTTATACATATATTTTCAACCACAACTATGTATATACAGTACTGGATATAACTTTTAACGTCACAATCGAAATACATCTGAATTTACCGCGAATCTGTTTGTTGTGGTATTTGAACATGATCATCGGGGTAATAAAACTTTCCATGTGGAATTTCCTTTTAACCAACTCCATATCATTTCTTTTTATTTTCAAAAGCATTTTGTATTTGTATTTATGACAAAGCTACTAAACCTATTTGCCGCCGTCCTTAATTTTGAACTACTGAGCAGAAGGAAGGCAGCCAGTTGCTGCCCACCATCCATACTAAGGGATTAACTGTCACATTTATAACGCACCCACAGCTTGAAGTGCGGGAAATATTTTGTAGTATAAAATGGATTCGAACGCGGCTCACAAGCTCCGAGATCCACAGCTCTACCAAAGTTCTAACCTACTCCCTTTTTCCAAAACAAATGAACTAGTTACACAAATTACATTCTCTCGACTTGACGTTTTTAGTGCGATTCCAGTTCCTCAACCTCACTTTGGTGTAAGATACTCCAGCTCACTTTGATCAATAACCCAAGTTGGAATTCAGCAGCATTGAAAAGATGAAGAATTCTGTTTATGTGATCTAAAGAGACATCTGATTCTAATGTAAGGAATTCAAGCGTTCTAGAGTGCTTTTAACGAAACGAACAGAAACTTGATTCACAATAAAGTTTTCTTTAACACTTTATAAAACACTAAGTTTTTTCGGAAACTTTCATTAGACAATGGGCTGTCCATAGCATAGTAGTTAGCACGCCGGGCTGCATTCGGAAGGTCCAAAGTTTGCGGTATCGATACCATTTACAACTCTCAGCTGCGAGTGCGTTATAAGAGAAAAACTTATCTCGTTATTTGGGTCAAAGCCGAACAAAGCTCATATGGCGACGAGTGCTACTGACTTGATGCCCTTTCTAATTTAGGGAGGTTTACATCTGAGCTTGAAATTTTAGGCAACTGATAAAAATTCGAATACACCGCATTGTAGGTTTACAATAATGTTGTTTAATATTTCCATTGTGCAGGCCCCCTAGTGGCACAGCGGTATGTCTGCGGACTTACAACGCTAGAAACCGGGTTTTGGTACCCGTAGTGGGCAGAGCACAGATAGCCCTTGTGTAGTTTTGTGTATAATTAAAAACAAACAAACAAACAAACCATTGTGCAGTAGGTTTTACGGTAGTTTTGTTCAGTACTTCCATTAGCACGAATATTGACGACATTTATTTCCTCTTTACAATGTGTAACAATTATCCTAAACGACCCAGTTTCCCGATGATTGGTTGATTAAATTTCAATTTTTCATGTTAAAGTTCACTAGAACATCACACAATCCTAATGGTAAATCCTGCTAGAGGTTTTGTGTGGCGTCAGCTTCACAATCCTTGCTCTAAATTTTAACCTGCCTTGTGAGAGTAAAGAGAAAAGAAGAAAATCTCCAGGCCAAGTTTTACAATTAACAAAAGCAGATCGTGATCTACTTGAATCAACATCACGTGGACTGCACGAGGTTCGTGGCGGTGTTCTCAGTGTTCTGAGAACAAAAGTGGTTTACTGGAAATATGTCTCTTTCAGTCAACTGTGGTTTCACAGAATAAGTTATCCGATGTAAGAAAAAACAACAAAAGACATTGCAACAGTATACGAATAAACAACAGTAGCTTCAGGAAATTTAAAATATTTTTACTTAAAACGATCGACTATAATTAGAGCTTTGGCAACTTAGTTATTTTTAACACAGACGTTTTAACTGCACTGTGCTTTTTGTACACTTAGCGGACTGACAATTTAGTATAATATATGTATATATATATATATTCAAAGATTACCAGTTTCGAAATATCTTTCGTTTTTATTTGTGTGTACATAACAGTAAGCGCCTATAAATTCTGCCTAAATAATTTGATGTGACCGAATAGCTGAAGTTTGTGTCGTTTTTGCTTCAGATTGACGTTATATGACTGAAAAAACTTCTTTGAACCACCATGTTCAAATTATTGTTGTGTGATAATCATCATCAGTACCAAAAACCCTTGTATAAACTAAGAAAGTATAGTTATCGTACTTACATCTATTGCATTCTCACACTTGATTATAAGGAGGTGTTCCCTAATTACAAGTAACGGTAACTGTTACCACACACCACCTCACGCATCATCTATATAAATATAATAGTACTGTCTGTTGTATGACCATGTAACTACTTCGCAGGTACTCCAGCTAGTTCAAAACAGATATGTCATTAGTAGTTAATCTGGCAAATAAAAGAAACGAAGAGTCGTGAACGTTGAAACTGGCGCAAATATGGCTTGTATTAGCGTCATGTTCAAAATTCAAGTAAGAGTTCCATTGAACTCCTTTTAATTATACATCTTTAAAAAACCTGAAAAATTTACGTACTAATATAAAAGTTTATATTTTGACAAAAATCGAATAAAATACAGACTGTGATGATCCGGAACATTAATAGGTGATTATTGTAAAAAATTCCTACTACGCGTGTAATCATTTCCAGAAAAATAATTACCAGAGAAGAGAAAAAGAAAAAGGTACAAACATTATATATGTTATTAAAGTGAAATTAGTCGCCTATATTTTTCTATAAAGCCTAAGACAGATAGCACCGCTGGCTTATTTTATTAAACTGAAATTGGCTGACTAGTATTTCCATAGAGGTAAAAATAGCTGTAATGACTAAGGCAAAAGATAACTACATACTTGAATGAGTTGAACCCGATGTAAAATGTCAAAGAACTCCCATGACAATGTTGCTGAGACAGATATCCATTAACTTAATTTCACGCCGTTACGAGAATAGCTATTCTTGTCATTTATGAAAAAGCAGAGTATTACAACAAATAAAAAATGTACAGGTTACGCACACATTAGCGAACACACCGCTCATACACACAGATTAGAAGGTTTGT